GGGTTAAGCCAACACAGTCAATACCTGATGTTTCGGTAGAATTGCTTGCCTGTCCAAATCTTGAACCAACGCTCAAATCTGTTCCTATATTTGGCACTAAATCTTAGTCCAAGAAATGTTAATAAATATGAGATATTCATCCCAATAGCCATAAATGTATTTCAAATTGTTCGAAATCCCTGAAAAGTGTACATATGACTAAAATATTGATGAAGCAAATTGTAGACTTTTTAACCATTGGTGAGGAGCACACACCTCACACCATATGAGGAAATTGACTAAAAATGCATTAAAAACAAGCCAATTTTCATTGAGTAGATTCTGAGTCATAGTGACCCTATAAGACAGAGTAAAGATGGCCCTTTGGATTTCTGAGATTGTAAAGCTTTACAGAAGCAGACAGCCTCACTATCTTGTGCAGAGTGACTGGTAGGTTCGAACTGATGACCTTGCAGTTATTAGCCCAATGCATAAACCATTGTGCTACCAGGGCACCTTACAAATGAATTAGTCACTTAGATATAAGAACTAAAACCATTAAACTGTTAGGAATAAAAAGGGAGGTGGTAAAGCTTTCATAGCCTTGGCTTTGGCAGTGGACTCATAGCTAAGATCACAGAAACATTGGCAAGAATGCAACAACAAAAATAGATAAAGTGGCATTTATCAAAATTAAAAACATGTATGCCAAAAGACTTTATCAAACAAAGAGATGGTATTTAGAAACCATATAAATGGTAAGGGTTGGAAATCCAGAATATATGAAGAATTCCTACAATTCATCAACAAAAACCAAACACGCTTTCAATGAGCCAATTCTAACTCACAGAGGTGCTTACACAGTTTCTGAGGCTGTACATCTTTACTGGGGAAGAAAGCCTCATTTTTTCTCCCGCAGAGTGGCTGATGGGTTTGAATTTCTGACCTCACAGGCAGCAGTCAAATGTTTACTGGAGCTCCCTGAACAACAAAAAAAGTTAAGCCAATTATAAGGTGGGTAAAGAATTTGAATAGACAGGTTTCCAAAGAAGATATTCAAATAGCCAATGAGTGCATGAAATGATGCTCTATGAGAAGTACAAAGGTGACCACGGGCTCCAGTAGAAAGAAAATGTTTTGAGAATGATGATGACAACATATGTACAAATGTGTTTGACACAATGGATGTATGTATGGATTGTGATAAGAGCTGTAAGAGCCCCCAATAAAATTATTTTTTAAGTACAAAAGTGAATGTTAGTTTTCTAATTAACTGAAGTAAAATGATGAACTATGTATGCTCTTATAATAGTCAAGACCACAATCTGGTTTGTTGACTGAATTTTTTTTTCTCTCTAACTCATTCTTCTGTTTGAGCCCATCTTTGCAGCCTCTGTGTCAATCCATAGCATTGAGGGTCTTCCCCTTTTTTGCTGCCCCTCCACTTTACCAAGTGTGATGCGCAAGCATGATGTCTAAGCATGATGATGTGTGTGTGCGCGCACGTGTGTGCTGAGATTCTAACTCCTAGACCTGTGCTAGAATTCTGTTTGGGAATGGGGGTGTCTTTGTTAGGATAATTGTGCCCCAGTTTGTGCCGAGTTCATTTTAAACCTAATCTCGTTTGAGATAACAGAAAGCAGAATGGACACAGATAAGCAAGCACAGATAGACCCGTGAAGGATTAGAAGTCAGCAAAGATCTTCCCCCAGAGCTGACACCGGAAGAAGGAAGTTCCCGCTATAGCCAGCACCTGAAATTCTAACTTCTAGCCTCCTGGATGATGAGAAAAGAAATTTCTCTTCTTTAAGGCTACCCAAGGAGCCCTGGTAGCATAGTGGTTACTAGTTGGACTGTAACCCTCAAGGTCAGTAGTTCAAAACCACCAGCTGCTCCCCTGGAGAACAATGGCTCTTCCTATTCCTGTAAACAATTATAGTCTCCCTGACAGTGAGTTTGGGGGTTTTAATACTACCCACTTGTATTTCTGCTACACTGAGAAACTAAAACATTTACAGTTGTGGCAGTTACATAATCTCCAGTCAACTTGAGTGAAGGAGTGGAGTCCAGCTTGTCCATCGGGTCATAGCCAATGAGGACTCTGTGTGGGCATGGCCTTCTCCTGAGGATTCTGGGAACTTCCTTCCTCCTTGGAGGTGGGACACACACTCTCTCTGCTACATATTCCTGTTGACAAGCCACATGGAGCTATGCTGAGGGAGCCAGAGCCCTGGAGCTGGAGGACCCACATGGAGACCCATGCCAGCGCTGAGATGCTTCCACCACCACTGGATCCACAAGACTTTCCACCCACTGGCTGTGATCTTCCTGCATTTGGCGTCATTGCATGTGTTGCATGAATTTGAAGAATTTATAGACCGGTATCAGACATATGGGCTAATATCAGATTTATGGATTTAATCTGGACTGGCCTGGGATGTTTTCTTAATATACAATTACTCTTTATATAAAGTTCTTTCTTACACACATATGAGTGTCTCTGGATTTGTTTCTCTAGTCAATCCAGACTAACACAACAGTAAAAATGACATTTCTTTTAAGGTGGTGGTGGGGGGGGGGCTCCAGAAGCCAAAAATGCTTACAAACTTCCTCCCTAAAAGGAACTAAAAGAAGGTTTAGTGGGGCAGTGGTTAACTGCTTGACTGCTAACGAGAGGACAAAGTGGCTGTCTGCTTCTGGAATCTACTCTGTCCGACAGGGCCACTGAGTCAGATGGCAATGCTTGGTTTTGGTGGAAAGGGACTGGCCTTGCTTTCTATATCCTTTAGCCATGAACTTGTGAGCTGTCAGCACCTGGGCATCTTAACTTTCTAACACCGGGCAGCTGGTGTGTATGAGAGAGGTCACCTTGTTTGTGATTATGCGCGCTCCTCTATTATGTACCTCTCAGTCCTAGCTTCTTAGGCTCTTCCCAGCATAGTTTAACATCTGGCTCTCTCTGTCTGCAAACGGCTTCCTTGTGGCATGAAATGTTACCACAAGAACAACCTTTAGAGACTTTGTTTCATTGGAGCACATGCTCCTACTCCCCACTCCACCAGCTCCGCTTCTCCCTGACCTTGTGTCATAACAGCTACCACCTGCAGGATTTGTTAATGGTGTATCCCCAACACTTAGAACAGGACTGACCTTAAACTAGATGCTCAGTAAATACGAGTATGTACTGAGCGAGTGAATTAATTTCATTTTATCGTGTCTTGGCTACTTCCAGAACCCTGCTCACCCTTCTCTAGGCCTCGCACCTCCAGTGCAGGTTTCCTTAGGTCCAGCTGCCCATGCGGCTATTCTGAAGGTAAGAGCCAGTGAGACATAGGAGTCTGAACACACGGTAGAGTGCCCTGTCAACTGTCTTCCCAGAGGTCTCTGTAAGGGCATCTGTGAATGCTGATAGTGGACCCTAGGGCTAGCGTGGCCACTTATGCTGGGGATGGGGTAGAGTCAGGTGAGATCCACTAAGTGCTTTCAGCCATCAGTCTGAAAGCCAACTACCACACAGAATTCTGATGTGATTTCAGGAAAGTTCAAGAGAAATACATCCAACAGAAGTTGGAAGACACTGGCTTGGTGGAGAAGGCAATACTTGAGCTAAGGTCTCTGAGATAGTTAAAGTTTATTGCACCAACCTGGACAATAAACACATGTGGGGTTAATTGAAGGGTGGAGGGATAAATGGCTCGGTGAACCTCGCCTTTCTAGTTCTCGGGTCTCTTGCTTTCTGATGGTTGGACCAGGGTGCAGCTGCCTTAGCCAGTTCCCTGCTTCAGCTGTCCAGACTCACTTCCTGCAAGACATCCCTGAGGAGAAGCCACATGGACCTACCCTGATGCAGCCCTGGGTGCTGGAGCAGCCATGTGGAGACCCCTGCCAGTGCTGAGATGCTTACATGTTCACTGACTCAGCTTTCCTCCTGCAGTCAGCATCATTGCGTCTGTTTTATGAGATGGAGGAGGACGCTGTGGACTGGTGTTGGACATATGGGTTAATGGGTTAATGTTGGACTTGTGGGCTTGGGCAGCACTGGGTTGGGATGTTTTCTTGATGTGCACTTACCCTTTATATAAAACTCTCTTATACATACATGAGTTTCTGTGGATTTGTTTCTCTAATGTATCCAGACTAACACAGTCTCAAAGCTTGACCTTGAAGGATAGGTAACATGGATATACTAACAGGATGCTGTCCCAGGCTAACTTGGTAATGGTTTTCCCTGAAGAGTTAGACTTTAACCAAAGCGCGAATTGTTATCATACGTAACATTGGTGATATATACTTTCTCCCAAGAGACAGGTAACAGCCTTGCAAGATGTGTTTGGAAAGAAGCTGCTTATAGATTCATATATCCACATATCCCCATCCAGACTGCTTGCTGTATCATATACTAATACTATACCTGGTCCATTGTACATGGACCGAGACGCGATTGTGTGAGGGGCACAGGGCATACCAGCATGGTATAAAATCAGGAAAGGTGTGCAGTGTATGGGACTCCATCGCCTTTGACAGCAGTCACTAGCAGAAACGGCGGCAGTTTGAACCCACCCTTTAGCGTCTTGGGAGATCGGTGCGGCGAGCTGCTTTTGAGAGGTCACAACCTTGAAAATGCCCTGGGCAGTTCTACTCTGGCACTCCAGGGGTGGGATCAATAGGAGGGCAACTAACCACGAGCAGTTGCACAGGATTTAGCAATTCCTTCTAGAAGGTGGAATCTGTGTGCGCGTGATAGAACGCCCATCTGGCAGGAAATTCCCTCCCAGCTGTTACAAAAAAACCCAAAAAAAACAGGTAACTTGGTCTTTGATTCCATTAACTACTAGGCTCCTCTCCGCCCGTGCTCACTGACCTTTACGAAGAAGCCCGCCCTCGAGCTCTCTCTTCATTGGTCGGTTTTGCCACCGGCTTCAGCCCCGCCCACCAGCTCTTCCGCTCCAGGCCTAATTGACAACCCAGCGGAAGTGGGAGGGGCGAGAGGCGGAAGTGACGTTCGCGGAAGCGCCGGCGCGTCGTCGGAGTGGGAAAGGTGGGGCCTGGTCCTGGGTATGTGGTGAGGCGAGCGTGGTCGGATTCTGGAGTGAAGCGGCCGCCGTGAGTGTGGAGCCTGCAGCCTTCTCCTGCCCGCGCCTCTTGCCCGGCCCGCCGCGTGCGAGGCTAGTGGTCACTCGGTTCCCTCCCACGGTCTACGCCCCTCCCTCCTCCTACACCCCCATTTCTGCGGCTTCTTTGAGCCGCCGCCTCGTTCTCCCACAGTTCATGATGCCACTTTCTTCTCTGCGGAGGCGGTCCCCTCAGGGTTGTTCAGCCCTGTGGTCCCCGGGACCGCTGCTCGCCGGGAAGGGGGCTTTCTTCTTAACCCGAAAAGTTGCCCCCCGCCCGAGAGGCATCGAGATGCCCTAAGCCGCCTCCGCTTCAGCTAGTTTACGTGGAAAACCGCGGGGCGGGGTGTGCGTGTGTTTCAGATCAGTTTACGTCCTCTGAGCTCCTGGAAACGCACTGTGGGAGACGCCCCGCCTCTGCATCCTGTGCAGAGCCCACGGCTTTTGTGCTATTAGTAAGAGTGGTTTAAAGGGGGAAGTTTGGCGAAGGAAGTGTGCCCTGAATGTGGGAGGGGCCTAGAGATAGAATTGGCCAAGAGTAGACTTTTCTGAGAGGACCTGTTGTCAGCATCTCTGGGCAGGTCAGAATTCTGACGGAAGCAAAAGATAGGAGGACAAAACATGCTGGTTAGGGTGTTCTGTAAGTCAGTGTGTGTCGAATCCCCAGATTGCTTTTGGAGATGATGGGAGAGGGGAGATGCTTGGCTGGAAGTGGGAGTCTAATTCTAACAGCATCAAATTCCCAGGCCTTTCTTCCTTTTTAAAAGTTACAAGTTACCTCGGTACCTTTTGTGCTGTTATTCAAAGAATGCTTCGCCTTTGAAGATAGACTTGGGTATTGGGTAAATGGCTATTTTAGGATGGAAATTCCATGGCAGGAGTTGATGAAGGACAATGTGTATTCAGTTGGAGTAGTAGTTTAGTGAGCAGGATAATGATTATGAACAGCCCTTCTCAGACCAGTTCCCCGTAACCTACCTTGTGCTCAAGTTTGCAAAAATGCACTACAGGAAAAATTGCAGGTACTCTCAAATTAAATGAAAAGAATCCAACGCAGGCAGGTAACCATCCTCACAAAAGTTCATTCAGGGTACTCTGTGAGGTCCTGCAGTGGACGCGTGAAGTGAAAGAAGCTAGAAGCAGAAATGAGGGGAGTGGGGAGTGGAGTGAGATACTGTCTTTGTTTCGGGTGCTTTGGGCAGAGACACCCAATGACAGGGAATGAAGGGCCCAGCTGAACTCCCTATGCCACCTAACCAAACAAAACAATGCTGACTCAGCGCCACCCCTTGCCGGTTTCCGAGACTGTTTATGGGAGTACTAGAAAGCCTAGTCTCCCCGCCTCCCCCGGGGAGCTGCTGGTGGTTCCCAACTGCCAACCATTTGGACTGCACCCAGCCCAACGCTTAACCACTACCCCACCAGGGCCCTTCCAATTGTAGGTTTGGTATTTTGTCAATGCTTTGATTGTGATACAGGCTTCCCAGAGGCTCAGACGATTTTGTAGCACAGAGGCCTTTTTGATAGAAGCCCATACAACACAGGATCCTTTGTCTGGGCCTGTGAGGTAAACAGGCTGCATGCTGTGCTGTGCTGAAATCCTGGAGGGCGTGGTGCTGATACCAACTCTTTTCTCTTTCCCCTCTTAGAACTTCTAGGTCCTGATGCCTGACCATGGGGATGTGAGCCTCCCGCCTGAAGACCGGGTGAGGGCTCTCTCTCAACTGGGTAGTGCAGTGGAAGTGAACGAAGACATTCCACCCCGCCGGTACTTCCGCTCTGGAGTGGAGATGATCCGAATGGCATCCATTTACTCAGAGGAAGGCAACACCGAACATGCCTTCATCCTCTATAACAAGTATATCACGTAAGACACCCACAATATCCTTTTTCTGCTTGCTTACTTCCTTGGCTCAGCTCTTCTAAAAAACCGGAGACCTTTATAACATCACGAGCATTAATCATTTTGTGCCGAAGCTCCTACATATCAATTGTCATTGGCATTCAAAGGCACCAGTAGTGTAGGTGTCATTTCATGACTCAGTAATTCCATGAGTAAGAGGCCTAGCTCTTGACCTGTGCCCACCTGGCCCACTGTTAGGCAAGAGTCAGTGATTAAACTAGTATCTACTGAAGAATGTTTTCTGCTCTCTTAAGGCAACCGGTTCTAGGGTTATGGTTAAAGTGAGGAACACAAATTCCTGACTTCTTATTTTGCAGCAAATTGAGTAATTTAGGAGAAAGTATTATTTCTTAAAACTTTTTAATGAGTCATCAAATAATTAGTGGCCACCAGCAGTTTTATATGGCTCATCATAATAAAACCTTGAGTTGCTTAGCATCTTAGGTTAAGCAACATAAATAGAAGAAGATTTCAGTACTATAAACAGAAGATAATTGAAAGCCCAGTGACAATGAAATTATATATGTCACTTGTCGTTGTTACATGCCGTTGAGTCATTTCTTACTCATAGTGACCCTATGCAGAACAGAACAAAACACTCTCCAGGCTTGTGGCATCCCCTCAATTTTCCTGGAGTCTTTCTCATTTGGTGGGGAAAGACAGGCTTGCTATTCCCAGAAACAGTTACAGCAGTGGTTCTTAACCTTCCTAATTCCGTGACCCTTTAATACAGTTCCTCATGTTGTGGTGACCCCGACCATAAAATCATTTTAGTTGCTACTTCATAACTGTCATTTGCTACTGTGATGAATCATCATGTAAATATCTGATATGCAGGATGTATTTTCATTGTTACAAATTGAACATAATGAAAGCACAGTGATTAATCACAAAAACAAGATGTAATTATATATTGTGAAATATTTATTTCTAATGACAAATAAATGAAATTTTGTCTTGAAGCATGGTATAGCATCGATAATAGTCTTCATGTGGGTACATATCTGCTTGTGGGCAGACCTGCCTGGAAACGGATAGAAGAGCAGTGTCTCGGTTCTTAAGACCATCAGAAATATGTATTTTCCGATAGTCTTAGGTGGCCCCTGTGAAAGGGTCATTCGACACCTCCCCCCCCCCAAAGAATTCGAGACCCACAGGTTGAGAAACGCTGAGTTACAGTCTCAGAAACATGGGTAGTTCTATCCGGTCCTAGAGGGTTGCCGTGAGTCACCATTGACTAGATGGCAGTGAGTTGAGTTCTCATTTTCACCAGCCCTCTACCAAGCCCGATGTCGTCCTTCTGGGACTGGTCCCTCCTGATCATATGACCAACATACATGAAGTCTTCCCAGCCTCACTTCCTAGGCACATTCCAGCTGTACTTCTTCCAAGACAGATTTGTTCTGTCTTCCGGCAATCTTCAGTGTTCTTTGTCACCTCAATTCTGAGGCAAAACTGCTGCGGTCTTGCTTACTTATTGTTTGCTTTCCCACGTCTGTGAGACAATTGAAACCATCCTGCCTTCAGTCCGGCCCACCTTAGTCCTCAAGGTGGCCACTGCTTTTTAACAATCTAAAGATCCCCTTTGCAGCAGATCTGCCCAGTACAATACGCCATCTGATTTCTTGATGACTGCCTCCATGGGCGTTGATAGAGATTCAAGCAAAATGAAATCCCGGACCACTTCAGTATTTTCCCCATGTAGGATGTTGCTTATTGATCTAGGTATACGGGTTGTTTTTTTTTCTTTATATTGAGGTTGAAGGCTAGAATCTCTTATCTTCATCAGTAAGTTCTTCAAGTCTTCCTAGGTTTTAGCCAGCAAGCTTATGTCATCTACATATCGCAGGTTCTTATGAGCTTTCCTCCAATCCTGATTCTGCATTCTTCATACAAGAAGGTTTGTCCAGCTTTTTAGATTATTTGCTCAGCATGCACATTGAATAAGTATGATCACGCACACCATTGTGATTTTAAACCATGCAGTATTCCCATTTTCTATTTTAATGGCTGCCGCTTGGTCTATGTATAGGTTCCACATGAGTACAATTAGGTGTAGAGTTCTGATTCTTCGCACTGTTATCCATAGTTTTGTTATGATCCACACAGGCAAATGCCTTTGCATATCCTATAAAACATAGGTAAACATTTTTGCGGCAGTCTCTACCTTCAACCGGGATCCTTCTAATGTCAGTGGTTGTACTCGTTCCATGTCCCTCTGAACTGACTGGAATTTCTGGAAGTTCTCTGGTGATGGACTGCTGCATGCATTTTAAAATTATTTTCAGCAGAATTTAACTTGCTCGTGGTATGAGCGATAGTGTTTGATCATCTCTGCCTTTTGTGGAGTCACCTTTCTTTGGAGTGGGCACAGATAGGGATCTCTTCCAGTTGGTTGGCCAGGTTACTATTTTCAAAATTTCTTGGTATCATTTCAGAGTTGCAGACATGTGTCAAAATATCCCAGTTGATAGTCTGTCCACTCCCGGCACTTGCTTTTCATTAATGCCGGCCATGCACCTTCGACAACAACCTTCCTTTCACACCGTTGGTTCTTGATCGTATGCTACCTCCTAAAATCACTGAATGTCAGACAAGGCTTTTTGGTATTGTGGCTTTGTGGATTCCTTCTATCTTCTATTTTGTCTTTTAATAAAGTCCTACACTCAGCTTGAATTTTTTCTTCAATTTTGTCTATGTGCATTTTATTATATTTTACTTTGTCTTCTTGAGGCACCCTTTGTAATCTGGTTAGTGCTTTTAATTAATCATGTCTTCCTTTTTCTTTAGCTCTTCGACATTCAAGAGCAAGTCTCAGAGTCTCTTCTGACATCCATTTTGATCTTTCCTGTTTTTTTAATGACCCATTGCTTTCTTCATGTATGATATTCTTGATGCCCCCCAAACAACTTGTCTGGCCTTCAGTCACTGTGCATCAGATCGTTGTTTGAGGTGGGCTCTAAATTCAGGTGGGATACACTCAAGATTATATTTTGGTCCTCATGGCCTTATTGTTTTTCTTCAGCTTCAACTTGAACTTGTGTGTGAGCACTTGATGGTCTGTTCTGCAGTTGGCCACTTGTTCTGACTGATGATACTGAGCTTGATTTTCTCTCTTCCATATATGCAGTCGTTATGCTGTTGCAAAAATATTACGTGCCACCAATAAGCCGTTGATCTTGTAAATTCATAACATGTGATCTCTGGTGCTATTTCTTTCAACAATGCCTTATTTTTCAGCCACAGAGTCCTAGTGGCATTGTGAGTTAATCCTTGAGCTGCTAACTGCAGGTTGGTGGTTCAAGCCAACAGCCACTCCATGGAAGAAAGATGAGGCTAGCTGCTCTTGTGAAGATTTACACTCTCAGAAACCCTCCAGAGGGGCACTGTGAGTTTAAATTGACTTGGTGGCAGTGGGTTTGAGTTTTTTAAATCATTCTTTCTTTCTACCTATCACCTTCTAATTGCCAGTAATTATCAGTACACATTGACTGTATGTTTGACCAGTCTCAGATGGCAGAAGCTGGTAAAAATCTTAATGTCTTCATCTTTGGCATTAGTGGTTGGTGAGTAAATTTGAACAATAGCTGAATTAACTAGTTTTCCTTGTAGACATATAGATATCATATTGCATTATCAAGCACATGTATTAAAAGTGTCACAATTTTTGTATATTTTGAAGGCTTTATTTCAGTAAAATTGTTCTTTTATAACCAAAAAGCTTACTGCCATCAAATTGATGCTGGCTCATAATGACCCTGTAGGACAGGGTGGACCTGCCTCTCTGAGTTTCCAAGACTAACTATTTATGGGAATAGAAAAAAGGCCTGTCTTTCTCCCAAGAACTGGCTGGTGTTCTTCCAACTGTGGACCTTACGGATCACAGGTCCTTTATATTATAATTCTTTTTATTTTCCATTATTCCTTTAAAAATTATCCTAGAAAGTGTCCCTAAACTTCACCTTATTGCAGAAGGTCCATGGCACATAACAGGATCAAAATGTTGATCAAAAAAAAAAAGAAACCTTGATAATGAGACTGTAGAATGAGAGGAGAAGGAGCCGGAGCCTGGTTAGAAACGGTGTAAGAGTTGAAGGAATGTTTGAGAGGCAGGAGGGGAGAGCCAGGAGAGCATGGGCCCCGGAAGCGGAGAGAGTTCAGAGTTGAAGAGAGAGTACCTCCATGCGGTGCTGTAATGTCGTTGATCTTGGTAAGCAATTTCCCTCAAAGGCTGAAAGACACTAGATTGGCATGGGTTAAAAAAAGTCAGTGTTCTGTTAGAAAGTAGAGATGGTGAATATAGATCAGAGGTTGGCACACTTTCTCTGTTACTATTAGCTGCCATCTGAGTAAAACTGCCCCCCAGGGATTTCAAGCTCTCACCTCTGGGCAGCAGAACACCCTACCAGACCTGCCTTCCCGACCATCACTGACTTAATTCCTCCTGCCAGCTTTGTGCCAGGAGTGGACACGTCACCGTTGGCCACCCCGGGACTTCACTTATCTAGTCAAGGCCCAGATGTGACTTGCTTTTGGCTTTGCGAACCATGTCGTCTCTTGTAACATGTAAGCATCCAGCATGGACAATACTTAAATGGAGGGGTGGCGGTGGTTGTATTCCAATACAACTTTATTTTGCCAACCTGTGGAACAGACACCTCTTTGGAGAAGTTTGAATCGGAGGGAAGGTGGAAAAATGGGAAAGTAGCTGAAGACAGACCAGGATCAGATAGTGTGTGTGTGTGTGTGTGTGTGTGTGTGTGTGTGTGTGTGTGTGTGTGTGTGTTTTGGGAGTTTCTAGAGGATGTGTTTGTCCTGGTGAGAAAGGATCTGGTGAAGGAGAGGCAGATGGTACAGAGCAGAGAGAGGATTGTAGCAAGGAACTCAGCGCAGGCAAAAAGGGATCGGCTGAAGTGTAACAGGAATCTTTAGTAAGCTGGGTTTTTTAATGGGACTTGGCGTTC